GAGTTTGTTTGGGTCAAGCTGGCTGGATGTGTGGTATGTATGGTAGCTGCGGCTACATACAGTATACGCTGGGCCAATCACGGCGAGTGATGTATTCTACTAATGAATACAAAGCCTGCTCGGATTGGCTGAGTCAGAGAGGTGGGCTGATGATGTCACAACCTCAGCCAATCCGAGCAGGCTTTGTATTCATGTATTCATTAGTAGAATACATCGCTCGCCGTGATTGGCCCAGTGTATACTGTATGTAGCCTCAGCTACTGTACATACACACATCCATCGTACTGATTACAGTAGGGACGTACCGGTACATTTTGAAAACAGCTTGGCTCAGTATACTGTATATACCACACATCCAGCAGGCTGACAGATTAATCTGTCATAGAGACATTTGTTTTTGAGCCAGCTTGGCTCAGCGCGGTATATTGTATGTAGAATACTGTATGTAGCCGAAGCTACCGTATTACCGCACATCCAGCGGTAACCATCTGATTTGGAATTTGATCCATATGATGACTGTCTTACAAATGTATCACAAGATGTCATTCATGAATTTATGATGTCAGAGGATGAACATGAGGATTTTGAAGGATTTTAAGTACCGGTAAGTCATAACCATTTCAATTAAAAAATCTGATGTTTTTAAATGGTGTTGCCTCGGAAGGGGGGTAGTCTTATACGGCGAGTATAGCCCAAAACCTATGTTTTAACTGGAAAATTAGGGGGTCGTCTTATACACCCAGTCGCCTTATACACCAAAAAATACGGTAGTTGTTTTTAGTTAAACCCATTTTAAAAGTAAAAAAAATACTGTAACTGATAGAGTCACAGGTTACCAAAATTGACCATAGTAATTCAAGTTCTGTTTCTAATACTGATGAACATAGATTTTTGTTTAGTTAACAATTTCATCTAACAGTATATCAGCTGCACATAACTGAAAGGTGTTCACTGATGTAAAATGTCATGTGAGGACATTTATTCCTGAATTTCCAGCAAACTTTGAATCGTGTGCATGTTAAGGGGGGTGACCATAAAAAATTAAGAATTCCATCTGGCACAATTTCCCTATTCTGTTCCCCGCTTCTTATGTGTGAAGCCTGTGTTTCTGTCGATACTCAGAAATTTCCACCACATTTTCGGGAGCATCACTGGGAAGCGGTATCTGACATTGTATTCAAATGGTGAGATCTATACCTCACTCTCTGGGCTTTTACACAGTTTACAGGAGGAAGGTTCTCCACATCAGAAATTGACATGTCCATATGTGCATCGCTGTTGTCAGCATGCATAAAATGTGTGTGTCACTGAGCTCATCATTGCTCTCATCGCTCTTATCACTGCTATCATGAGATAAGCAAATCACCTTGTATGCTGCCTCAGCGCTGTATATCCTGCATGCCATAATGCACTTAATTGTCATAAAAATAAATATATATTCCTAAAGAACAGACTTATCAAACAGCTAATGTTAACCCAGTGGCTTACCTGAGGGGGTGCAGGCGTGCAGCCTGCACTGGGTACCACAAATCTGAGGGTGCCACAGACAGCTGATCAACTTAAATACCAGGTCAGTATTGCTAATGTCGGTGCAGCAGCTGCTTACATTACACTTCTCACTTGCAGCTTGCCTACACTAGCTGCAGTGAGCGGCAGGTAGAAGGAGCAAAATGACAATCACCCACCTTCTACATAAATTCAGCCCACACAGCAACTCACCATACAAGCTCCAAAGTGCCTTGTCTGAGGAACCACCAAGCAGCTTACATTGATAGGGGAGATTCTGCATCCTAGGCATATACTAGCAGAGGGGGGCTGTGTGGAGAAGGACCCTGGACTAAGGGGGAAGGGTGGTTTGTGTGGGGAAGGACATGGACTAAGGGGGGGGGGGGTTGTAGGCACTGGACTAAAAGAGGGGTGCTGTGTGGAGAAGAACCCTGGACTAGAAGAGGAGGGTATGTGGGGAAGGCCCCGGAATGGGGGTTGAGGGGTTTGGAATGCCTGGACTAGGAGATGCATGGAGGAGCAGTGGCGTACTAAGGAGGGTGTGAACTTGGCTGATGGTGCTGCCGCCAGCTGACTTTTCTATTTTGAGTTGCACTGTGCTGCACCATTATCTCTCCTACCACAGTGCCGTGCAAATCAAATGAAGAAATGTCAGGCAGCTGCAGCACCACCCACCCCCCTGGCTGGGGAAATGAGGAGTGTCTATACTGATGATTCCCTACTTGGGTGCAGGGTATCTGTACTGAGGATTCTGTATTGGGGTGGGAGTATGGTGGGTGTCTATCCTGTGGGGGTCTGTACTCAGGGGTCTGTGTTGGTAGGGTCAGTCAGGTTTATACTGGGGGAGTTAATCTGTGCTGGTGAAGATAGTCTGTTCTGAGGGTTCAGTGCTGGGGGGGGGGGGGGTTGACATGTGCTGAGGGATTTGTGCTGGTGGAGTCTGTACTGAGGCTGGATTTAGGGATGTTAAGGAAGATCTGTACCATGGTGGTGGTGGGGGTATTTGTACTGGGAAGAGGGGGACATTTTGGTCGTAGTTTGTAAAGTGGCCTATGCATTACACACTCCTTACCCCTGAACTATAGACATTTAGGGGAATTTATCCAAACTAGGGCAGACAGAATCTGAAGCAACTGATTTTGGCAACCATTCAGCTTCTATATTTTGTTTTCAAAGCTTAACTGAACAAGTTGAAGATAGAAGCTGATTGGTTGCATAGCTGCTCCATATCCTGCCTGCTCCAGTTTTGATAAATTCACCTCAATGTGTTTTACATTTCATACTCCTAGGTAGGTACGCTAGGTACGCTGGGTACGTGATAACCCATTAACCCTAATATTCTTAAACCAAGAATTATTTTAAAGGACAAACAGACATGAAGCCTTAAACCTAAAGTATTTCCAAAGGTATTCTTTTTTAAATAAACATAGCATACCTACCTGCTCTGTTCAATGGCTTTGCAGGGAGCAGCCCAGATTATCTTCCTCTAGGATCCCTCATCAGCGCTTCTGGCTCCTCCCCCTTCTGACTCCCCCCACCAATCCTGAGCCATGATGTATGTGTCCATTGGCACATAAAGCGCGGTTCGGCAAAGACTCCACTCTCTCCTCACAGACTATAGTTAACAGAAGCAGGAACCAATAGCTCCCACTGCTGCCTTCATGGCCAGTGAGGTGAGTGAGAGCAGAGAGAGCAGCTGCTCTTGGGCACAGGGCTGGATTAAGATCAGGCTCACATAAATATTTAGGGAAGGAACTGTGGAGGAACAGAACACTGAAGGTTGTTTACCTTAATGTAGAGAATGCATTAAGGTAAAAAGCAGTCTGCCGTTAGAACCACTTTAATCTTATTAAAATGTAAATTTATTATATACAGATAAACTGAGAGAAAGTCAGATGGCCAGGATGACAGACAGGTGACCAAACAATAGTGTTAACTCTAATGCTACTAAACTTAATCACATTTTTTTTTAAGGGCAGATAAACAAACCAATAAATGAATGGTCAGATAGACAACTGAAGAAACAAATACCTAGTTTCAATTCTAAATACTTTTTAATTCAAAAGATGAACTGAGAAACAAAACTAAGGAACACATTTTTAAACAAGTCTGCCCTGAGACATTTGTTCTCCAGTGGGGAACTGCGTTTTTGGAATGTCACCTTTGCTACACATTCTTTGTATATGTATATGTAGTACCAAGCTAAGTTGGTGAATTCTTGCATTTTACAATAAAAATATAAGATGATTTACTGTAGAGATTTACTGTTCATATGCTGAATCTGTTTACGTTCAGCATTTAAAGTGTTAGTATTTATTATCTGAAAAGACCAACATTTGGACTAGCCTAAGCCTGTTCACTTGTCTGTACCAACTGGCCTCACTCTCCTCTAAGAGGTCATGTGGCTATGAGAGGCTTATTGAAAGGAAATCAAAGGCTAGCATTTGGAAGAGACAGGCACCAAATGACTGTCATCTCTCTGAAGTTCACATTTTCTGTACGTAAACTAAGTGCTATGGATGGGCACTATTAATGCTATTAATGGAGAACTCAGCACAGAAAGGGTTAGGCAATCTTGCTTGGCTTACAGTTAGGCAAAGTAATAATGACCACGATGAAAAGCACATACTGTTTGGCATGCACTTTTATTTATATAAGATAATAAAACAAATGAGGAAACTGGGGTTGATTTACAAAAACAAAATCTGACAAACAAAAGAGTGCAAATCTGACACAGCTGTGCATGGTAGCCAATCAGCTTCTAATTTCAGATTGTTCAATTAAGTTTTGACAATAAAACTTGGAAGCTGATTGGTTTCTATACAGAGCTGCACCAGATTTTGCACCCTCCAGTTTAAGCAAATCAACCCTAAGAGTTTACAAAATGTTGACACTTTTGGCAGTTTGAAGGTGCTGCTTGTGGAGTCCAAGGGATTGACTTACTAAAAGAGTGGAGGCTGCTTACATTGAAAAATGACTGTTCACTAAGCTTAGCAAATAACCTGAGGTGTTGGCCATTTTGAATATTTTGCTAGCTTATGACTGGGTCCACTTTATTCACAAAGTTTAATTAAGTGAACAGTCTATACACAATTAGAAAATTAAACCTTGTGAGTGGGACTTCAACTATTTTAACCGCCTCCCGCCCGTCATATAAGGTAATGAAGGGTGCAAGGCAGTTCTCTCATTCTGGAAGGACGTCATATAATGTCCTCACTCTCTAACCGCGCAGCTCCGGGGAGCGCAGTGCGGTAATCGGTGGTGCGCTGTGTCCCTCAGACACAGCGGATCACCAATTAACAGAAAGAGCCGAAGATGTCAGCTTGGTCATGTGATCAGCTGTGTCCAATCACAGCTGATCGCATGTAAATAGGGAAATGCCGATTATCGGCATTTCTCTCCTCACGAGCTGTCACGCTGACAGCCGTAATCAGCATTCCACAGAAGGGGACATTTACACTAATCATCAGGGCACTGATGATCAGTGTGCCCTGATGATCTGTGTAGCCCCAGCCAGTGCCAATGCTGTCAGTGCCCATCAATGCCACCTGCCAGTGCCTATCAGTGCCACATCAAAGCCACATATCAGTGTCTACCAGTGCACATCAATGCCACATATCAGTGCCCATCTGAGCTGCCTTTCAGTGTCACCTATCAGTGCCAGTCAGTGCCACCTATCAATGCCAGTCAGCACCACCTATCAGTGCTGCTAATCAGTGCCACCTACCAGTGCCAGTCAGTGCCGCCTATCAGTGCCACCTATCAGTGCGCATCAGTGCCACCTATCAGTGTTGCCTAACAGTGCCAATCAGTGCTGCCTATCAGTGTCAGTCAGTGCTGCCTATCAGTGCCACCTATCAGTGCCCATCAGTGTAGCCTATCAGTGCTCATTACTGCAGCCTCATTAGCACACATCAGTGAAGGAGAAAAATCACTTATTTACAAAATTTTATAACAAAAACTAAGAAAATGTTTTTTTTTTCAAAATTTTCAGTTGTTTTTGGTTTGTTTAGCAAAAAATAAAAACCCCAGAGGTGATTAAATAGCACCAAAAGAAAGCTCTATCTGTCTCAAAAATGATACAAAATTTCATATGGGTACAGTGTTGCATGACTGCGCAAGTGTCATTCAGAGTGTGACAGCGCTGAAAGCTGAAAATTGGCCTGGGCAGGAAATGGGTATAAGTGCCGGTAGGCAAGTGGTTAAAGACAGTAGAATGTTGATTTTTTTTTTTTTAGGAAAAGGCAGGGAAAAAAAAAACATACAGTATCCTGTACATATCTGTAATATGAGCATATTTCCCTATGTTTTTTACCTTTAAAGACCCTGTATGTTGATCTGTATGTCTATCTGTTGATCTGGCAGGAATGCACTCAGCTTTTAAGTCTTGTTATAGGATGACAACACACAGCTTTTTATAGACTGAATGTAGTCAGCCCTGCCCAGTGTCTTTTGCTAAACTGCTCATTGACTCCTACTCTCAGATCTTTACAGGTCCAAAATAAGTCATGTAAAGGCTAAATGGATAATATATAGTGACACCAGAAGTGTGCACAAGCCAGCTCTGACTTTATGGCAAGATCAACATTTTTATTTTGTACTCATCAAACAGACATATCAAAATGCTTCCAATGGAAGAAAAGATAAAGAAAATAATTGTTAGTCTTACATGCACTTTAAGATATATCTATGCTGACCAGTTGCTTTAAAAACTAGGACCAATCTAAACTTTGATAATAACTTGGACTGCGGTGAAAAAAGTCATATAACAATACAATCTATTCTTCAAACCTCACTGACAACTGTCCTCAATCTGCTGTACATCTGTTACTTTTCTGACTGTTTAATATTCATTAGAAAGAATGTGAAATGCCAAATGTATTCATATAGCTGTAGGCAGCTAACACAAATTCCAGCTCTAAAATTCCCAACAATGGCCTGGTATATCATAATGTATTGTATATCAATTTTTGCAGTCAAGTTCTTACTTTTCACATTATGCACTATATATTTGTGCTGCGGTACATTGCCATTTATTGTCAATTGCACCCTGACACAAATCTTCAAGGTGCAGTCATATACCAGCACTATAGCACAACACACACAGATGCTAATGCTTTGAGCATTATGGTACGGTGCACTGTAAAAAATATTAAATTTTTTTTTAGGTCTGTTGACAACCCATTCAAGAAGCTGCTTAACGGATGTGCCTCAATGTGCAAAAACATATGCATCGATCCCCATCGCACTAAGCTTCTTCTCAAAGAAGCTTAATTACTTAAGTCTATTAAGGAACAAGTTATGCATCACCCATAACAGAAAATCTGATTCTTTCTTTTATTCTCCAAAAGTGGCATGGAAAATACTAGAAACAATAACTTTAGTTCTGAATAAAGCAGGGAGGAGTTTGAATATATGTCTTGTCTTTGTTCATATTAGGAATAAATCCCAGCACATCCTTTCCCCGGGAATTGAGTGCAAATCCCACCACTGACAGCTGTCACCAGAACAAGTGGAAGTTGGAAGTTATCCCTCTACTCTACTTCCAGTGGAAACAGCAAAATGTTGAATTTCCCTCACATTCTCTCTCTCCTTTTAGCTTTTCTTCTCTGGGCAAATGGTGAGATTAGATTTCCTAAATAACAAGACAGGGAACACAAAGAATAATAAAAAAAAATGTAATGATTGTTATGTAGCTTGAAACTTCAATAAACAAGCTTGCTAGTTTCCAAGAACCCATCACATTGGCCTTCTGGATGTTTTGTTGAGCAGAACAGTTGAGCAGACTGAGATCTGGGCAGGTTCTAGATAGGAGAAGCATTGGGTCCCCCCTGTGTGACAGACAGTGGTTCCAACCCTTCCCTGTTCAATCCAAAATTAGAAAAAAAGAACACAGATTTAAAGAAAAGATGGGATTCTATCAGTATACCGTATGTATTCCCCCTTTCTTCAAAGATATCCTGTCTTCAATGCACATATCATTGCCACCAGCTAATAGTAACCAAAGATAAACATGCTTACCTAAAATGATGCTGGCTATATTTAGGCCCAGAATTTCAGTTTACATCCCAGAAGATGACAAATAGGGGCTTCCCCGTGTTTGTATACTTTATATAAAGTGTAACTACACCCACAACAGTAAAATCAGTCTGTATATGCTGTAAAGCAAGCTTGTTATACTCAATGTGGAACCTAAGGGGTTAATCCTCTGCATTGTGTAAAAAAGCTAGTTGATCCTGTCTTCTCTGATCCTACCCTTCTTCTACCAGCAGCAGTGGCAAGTCTATTTGGTGTGCATTGCTACAGAGTTTTTTATTTTGGGAGGGTGCATGTGATTGACACAGGACCATTCAGCGCTGTCCGGACAGAGGGTCAGGGGTCATGCAGCCTCATAGGACAATCAGGGAAGAATGACAACTCCTCCTACAAGATTAACCAGTGCTCAACGGGACACTGACAGAAGTCGCAAGACTGCTAGATACTGCTGATGAGAACAGGTATTTAGCAATTTTTATTTACTAAAATAATTGCATTTCCATGTTTCTGTATGTCGTTGGATCGAGGAGGGCTTAGGTAAGGATTGGGGAGGGGCTGGGGGGCACACAGAAGCTTTTTTACATGAAGGTAAAAAACCTTGAGCCTTTAGAACCACTTTAAGTATGCACCTCATTTTTAAATTACCTTAGGTGTTTATCATTTTAATTGTTTTCTATATACTCTCTGAATTCCAGTGTGATGCAAGACAGACATTAACGAGATAATCTTCTGCCTGTCTTCTGAAACTTTTGTTGGCTGCATTATAAAAGTGTGGCACTTCAAATTAGGTTAGGCCATTTTATTCTGTACTCCAATGGGTTCTGTTCGGTGTAGATTACTATACAGTACATTCTGAAAAAAAAGAATTTTGCAGAGTCCAACGAATGGTGAAAAGTGAAGGACTGTGTGTGGAGTAACCAATGGAAATCAAAACAAAAAAGAAAATGCTCAGCAAATTTGTGCAAGATTGTAAGAAAAAAAAAAAAAGGCAAAAAACATTTCCACCCTGTATTTACCTGCATCATGTCTTTATCATGGAGGTGCTGTGCCATGGATTTGATAATTATGTCAAAGAAAAACTGGGAATGCTGTCAGAGGAATACAAAGCAGCTGTTATTTCTGGCACAATCATTCTTCATTTCACAAAACATGCTACCAGCAAATTGCATATAGCCTGCTGTACACCAACACATGTTGATAAATATGGCAAGATTAACATCCCAACTGCTAAAGCTGAACTGTAAATTATTTTAATGGGTTTTTAAAAGTGGTTTCAACTTCTTGACTGTAAAGGATAAAAGTCACATACATAAGTAGAAAGTGTTGAATATAATCCTTAATCCATAAGGATGATAAAGGTCTCTTCAGGACACTTTAAAAGCCCCTGGCCTCTTAAACTGGTAATACCAATAAATGCTGCCTGTTTTCATAACAAGATTAGCACACATTGATCTCAGGCTCTCAGGAAGGAAGCTGCAACTCGTAATACTAAAATTCTTTAATCTGGATGCAAATTGTAAATATTTAATAACCTCCAAACACTATCCTGCAAAGTGAAAGACAAGAGTTTCCAATTTATATTTCTAATTGGACACATTTTTAATTAGGAAAATAAGTTGTAAACTAGATCTTTTCACTTTGCTCTGATTGCCACTAATTCTGAACATCACACAGTATTCCCTGACATTAATACGCAAGCTGTGTAGTAACTGCTGCAATACAAAATGCTTACCTTCAGCACAAGCTTAATTGTATTTAGATCATTGCATTTTAAAAGGCTCGCAATTCCTTTGGAAAGTTCCTCATGAACGGTCCGATCTCCGTATGACTGTGCTTTAAACACATACTAAACAAGAAAAAATTATGGAAGATTAGCACATGGATAGCATAATTGTTGTAGCATGTATATTTATATTTACAGTATAACTAATATTTAAGCCCTGATTCACACCGATTCGACTTGTCATTTGATGTGGCAGTTCAAATTGCATGACACGTCGCACCCAATGATCGGCAATCGAACTGCTCTAATGGGTGTGACTCCGACTTAATAAGTGTTGCATGATTTGAAAAGTAGTTCCTGCACTACTTTTGGCGATTTTGGGTGCGACTTGCATAGACATCTGTGCACGAAGTCACACAGATGTCTTAGAAGTCAAACTGACATCAAGCGAAGTCGCATGACTTCAAAGTCGTAGTCATTGTGAACCCTGCTTAGTCTGGGTAAAAAAAAACAAAAACATATCCAGTACATCTTTTCAATCTTTGCATGCTCCATGTGCTGCAAGTATAGAAAAAAAGACACTGATCCTGCTAGAAACTAGTGTGCTCCTAATGTCCTACAGTGAGCTGACAACACTGTTTCTGCTGCACTGAAATCCCTCCCCCTTACCTGTTATCCAGAGTTGTCCTCAATTCAAATACTCAACTGCCAAGTGGATCTGGTGTTGTTTTGCTGTGATCTCCTTCACCACTGCCACATAATTTGTCCTGCATCATCATGATTGTTCTTGATATCATCAGGTGTTGGTTGCCCCCCTATGGTTCAGACAGCCTCCCTCTGATGATGCATCCTAGGCCAAACTCCTCATCTGCTGTGAATGGAAAGCGAAGCATCCTGGGATATGTGACATACACATCCCAGGAGACTTCAGGGCAGTGGAGACATCATTCTGAGTCCCAGATAAACAGCGGGCAGACCAAAAAAATAAAGTGAACATACTCAATTCCTTTCATAACTTAACCCTGCTATATGTTTCTGCTAATTGCCTTATCATACCTTGCCTTAATTACCTTAATGTTTTAGGCTCCCTTCACACCACTGCATT